CATCACCTAAGGCACCAGGTACCCCTTTGCAAGGCGGCAACCACCTCCAGGTGAGCTCCAGTGACCTGAACCCAGGAGCAAAGGCACTGAGGACACCACAGCGGCATGGCTTCCACAGAGCTCATAACCAGGGCCCACTGTGCTGTGCTGGAAAGAAGGCTATTTCACACGCTTCTGACTCGGGCCCAGTGCCTACAGAACATGGAAGCACCAGGGATCTGTCCAAGTCTCCTGTCCTTGGTTCAGCTCAAACCCCTGGCATTCCAATCCGGAGTCCAGAGAGATACTAAAAGGGCACTGACTCCCCTCCCTTTCCTCCTACTTCGATTGACACTCCTCACTTCAGGGAAACGTTATGGGCACATAGTTAGGAACCATTTTTACGTGGGCGTCCATCTGAGCTCATCTTTTTCTGGAAAAACAAAAAGATTGAAGGCGATTGTGTAACCCATTCCCAAGGCTTTCTCCTTTCTATCAGGCAGTGGGAGAGCCGGCTATCTAGTCTACTTGGGCCCTTTGCAGTCATCAAGCTTCCTGTGGTGTATACCAACTGGGGACTGAGGAAAAGGGGGCTGGGCTCGAGGATGGGATAGATTAGCACAAAGTAGAACACTGGGGCCAAAGAGCGACTCTCAGCAAAACCCCCTTCCTAAGACATTAAAAATCATAATTTGGGAAGAAGGTGGGGGGTGCTGACAGGAATCTAAAGTTCTTCACTTCCCTAGGTTTGGTCACTCTGTTCCTTTGGTCTCGTGAAAGCAATCGTAGTGGGAAAGTGAACGGGCAACGTTTCAGACCACGTGCTTCTGAGACCCCCATTAGTGGGAGGCACACTTTACCCAACTTGACCAGACGGAACAGAGGCGATGGATTTCCGATGTTGACGAAACCCTGAGCCCTAGGGCCAATTTACAGCTTGGTATTTGCCAAGTCAGACGCTGACAAGGCAGCAGACCTGGCTCCACGGGCCAGCTCACCCCATAGTTATCCCTTCATCCTTCTGGAAGAGATTGGTCTGGGAGGAGACGAGATTGTGCTGAAATTGCAAGAGCTATCACTGCCAGAGAAAATTAAATGGGGGCTTCAAGCAGTGACTGAGCCAGTAGACCAAGTGGCCAAGAGGGGCAAAAGCAGCTCCCAAGGAGGGCTGACGGAGCCGTGCCATCTGCAGGCACACGGAGACGCTGAAGCACCGAGGGCAGAGCCACACCGGCAGCCGGCCACAGCTGCGCAGCACACCCGAGTAGCACTGTCCTTCACTGTCTGGAGCAGCTCTCAGCGCGATGGCCCACAGCTCGGCTCCCGGCTCCAACCACCACGCAGACAAGAGTAACAAGCTGCATTTGCCCTCACTCACCCCAAACTCCGGCACAGTGAAAATGTGGGCCTCCAGATGGGAACTGTACTTCACAAGGAGTTAGCAAACAGAAGCAGGGTCTCCTCGGCTTCACAAGCCTCATCACAAGAGAAATGGCCTACGGCAGGAGGAGCGGCCCACCCTGAGGCAAGCTCCCTCCCTCCCTCGGGAGCTATTTGGGGGGAAGGCAGCAAAGCCACCAGGGAACCCTGAGATCACTTGGATAGCTGAATTATTTGTTTGATACAACTTTGGCTCAAATATGCTAGGTGTCAGTTTCTATAAATAAGGCAAAAATAGTTCTATCTCAGAAGTTTCACGGTACTTCAGGGCGGGATAGGATTTTACCATATACACAATGCATGAAGGCACTGGGGTTCCCCAGTATAAACCTCCTTGAACCTACCACCTCATCCCGTTGCACCTGCCCCAACACTGCTCATGTTTCACTTTCCGTCTTGAGTCTCTCTGCTGCCAACTGAGGTGGCTGTCACTCAACAACAGTCTGAAGCTGTCGAAAAACCTGGAAGAAATGATCCACCAGCCACCTGAAGAGGGATCTTGGTGCCGATGGAACCCAGGGCCTTTCCACATGATCCACTAAATGGCTGGTCTGCAGGCGTCACTGTAGCTTCTTAAAAAAATGAAGGCCTGCTTCCCCCAGCACGGAGAGCCAATCAACCTGAAGAGTGCTCTTGTCAGGAGTGTCTACCCTACTGGCCAAAGTGATCAAGCGTCCCCTTCTCCAAGGGGGCAGATCAGATCCAGTAGAGAGAAGCAAACAAAGAGCAGCCAGGGGGGGATCTGCCCCCTCACAAAAACACTGCTGGTTTGTAAGCAAACTCTCTCCTGGCCAAGGGAGGGTCACAATGACCTCCAGTGGTGAAGTGAAACTAGTGGCCCTGTAATCAAAGGTGCTGTCAGTCTCTAATCAGAAATAAAACTGCAAACAAGTAGAGGATCGTGAAAAAGCGGGTCCAATCCTGGATCCAGGTAGGTGAATGACCCCCTGGCACGCACAGTTTGCATAGTAAGAAATGTTCCAGACAGTGTCGGGGCTGATAACTCAGGTTTTGTCCTGAGGGGGCGGATGTGTGTGTGGGGGAGTGGCGACAGGATGAAAGGGGCACAGATGTTGAGGAAAGGCTGAGAGGATGTGAGGAATGAGGAGATGAGCAGACGAAGGAAGGAAGGGGAAGGGAAAGGAGATTATGTCCTGATTCCATTGCAACCAAAAGCTATGTGACCCACGGAGGCAAAACAGAGCGCCTGGGCCAGGTGTCTAAATCCCCAGCGTAAGACGGCTTCTCTGAGCTGGCGTGAGTAATGCCACAAACCAAGAGCAGGCAGGGATGAGGCCTGGAACAACGGCACACACGCCCAGGAAAGACAGAGGGAGGCAGGCGGCTGAGGAGGAAAAGCTGAACACAGGAAGGACACGGCCAGTCGACCTTGCCCAAAGACCCTACAGACACATCCCCAAACGTTTGGCAGGCAGCCCTCAGAGCAGAGCTCACCGGCACCCCGCTCCTGGAGCTGCAGCGGCCAACCCCGTTATAACTACAGAGGGGTCTGTGCACTTCCCGCTCTGGGGCACCTGCACGTTCCAGCATGTGCATTGACAATATTTCAAAAATATATACTATTTGCTTCAAAAACACAACAAACAAAAATTCATCTTCCTCTACGAAGGGTTACATCAAGACTGATTCTAGTCACTGAGATAAGAGGTACGAAAGGCTCAGAGTTGTGATTTCTCTATGAAAGATCCAGCCTAGAGTCTGAAGTCATTGCTGTAGTTATAACTCCACTCACTCCTGAGGGTCAGCTGCAGTGGTAAGTTATCTGATTGGGAAAATATAAAGGCTTCCTTGCAAAAGGTTGTGGGAAGTGTCGTTATTTTTTCACTTTTCTATGAAGTCCCTTCTTAGAAGCAGGAGTGCCAACCATGAATGTTCTTCCGGAGAGGTCCCAGAATGCCACGCGAGCCAGCGTCTTCCTTGGGAATAAGAAGGTGGGCTGAGAGCTGAACCCAAGCCAGCAGACTGTTACTTCACCCACCCTTCTTCCCAGAGGTTCCACACAGACCACCTCGGCCAGTGCCGGAGGGAGACCGAATCAAGCTTCCAAGTTCAGGGAGAGATTTTCTGCACTATCTCACCCCGTTTCAAAGGGCTGAGAAGCAATTGCACACCATGTGCAACAAGGAACGCACAGATCCCAAGCCAGTCCGCAGCACAATGACTGAGCACCACTAAGACAGGAAGTTGTTCTGTGTGATCGCAGGGCACAAAGGGCCTGAGTTCTCCTCCTCCGAAGACGTGTCCTCGAAGAGCTCACTCTGGACAAGCATGCTCCCTAAGCCATACTCCTGCTCATGGACAGACACCTCGTGTGGGGTGAGGTGGTAGGAGCCTTCCACAAAGTCAGCAAATCTGAAAAGGAGGAAAACGATACTGATTAGGAACCTGCTCTCTGGGTTTGTTTTGTTTTGTTTTTTCTTTTTTTATCAAAAGAAAAACCAATGGAAATCCTTTGACAGGCTCATAGCTCAAATTATACAGAGTCTAGCCAATATCCTTGTCCTTGCCCAAGGACTACAGTAAGAAAGAAGAGAGGGCCAGAGATCAATATCCCCTTCATCTTGTTTAATCCTGCTACTGTCACTGCAGTGCTAAGGTTCTGTTCCTGTGGCTGCTAGGTGCCCTCAAGACAGTCACAACTCATCACTGCCCTGTGTGCAACACAACAACAGTGCTGCACAGTCCTGGGCCGTCCTCACAGCTGTGTGAGCCCAAAGGTTCCATTAGTCATCTGTAATCCCGAGAAGAAGAGACCATGGGACATTATAGGTTTATTAATGTTTATAGCTCCATAAAGTTTATGCCATCAAGATTCTACACTGAAGCTTCGCATGTTCACTGTACAGTTTTGCTCCTAAGTGTACGTACGCACACACTCACTCACTGACTCACTCAGAAAGCAAGGAAGACTATCAGAGGAAACACTTGGCATGGTCCTGGAGTCTTCCCATTGCCATGTATAATCAAGCCGATGTCCACATGCTGACACTTACTTTTGGGAAAAGTCAGTGAGACAAATGGCTCTCTAGCAGTGTGATCTCGGCTAGAGTTCTAGGTTAACGATCCTGATAAATGCCTGGCTTATGTGGCCAAGAGTTTACCTTTTTGGAGACTGAATTCGAGACACAGTCTTCCAAGCAGGGCAGTCTGGGCTTCTACAATATTCCTGAAGTTCTTGTAAAGCCTTCCGAGTCTCCACCTCCCCTTGCATCCGGTACTCCTCTTCTGTCAGAAGGCGGGGCAGGACAGGCGTTTCTGCTGCCCTACACATCTTTCTGTGCTCATCAAAATAACATCATGAATCATGAATCAGTAAGCAGCCTAACCTCGAGCTCCCCTCAGTGAGGCAGCCACACAGCAGACAGCTGAGCACGAAGATCCATCACTCTCCCACCTTTCTCAAGCCCTCTTTCATAAGGATGGGCCCTTGACAAGTCAGAGTAGCCACGATTATTCACTAACATGAACAAAGTCGCTCGTTCTACAAAACAGGAAGATATGGATTTAGTTTCCAGTCGATGGAAACAACAGGAAAGCACTGGCTTCTGGCCGTGGCCGTGAACTTGGTTCACCAAACTGAAGGCGTCACCTCGACTGCTTCCAGGAGAACCGTCTGTGACGTCCTCAAGGGCCTGTTACAGTGCTAGATGGTAACATGCTACAAGTCCCATCTGAAAACGGAGATCCCAAGACTACCTGATTGTCAATGCAAAATCCTCTGAAACCAGGTCACCTGGAGTATGTGGTAGAAAGTGGTGTAACTAGCACCACCTGGTGGTAATAGGAACACATACCAGTTACTAGATGCTTTTATTTCATAAAATGACTAGAAAACACGCCTGGAGAGCTGCTAAAGGAGTAGACCCCCAAACAAAAGCAGAATCATTATCATCATTATACAGAAACGTCCATTAACGAAGACGCCCGAGTTTACACCTCTGTACCCTTTTGCTGCAACTGCATACCTCCCATTGCACATGTCAGTACCGTTATCCTGCCTTCCGGTCACCTGTAGGTAATGTACAGCCACTGGACAGGGTACTCCAGGTTCTTGGTGCACAGTGCAATGACGATAATGGCAAAGGCCATGTGTGGTATCTGGATGCCAGAATACATGAGGGACAGGCCCATCAGCTGCAAGGCCCAGGTCAGCAGGTTGATACTTCGCTCATTCTCCAAGGGCCCATACTTGTAACACACTGCAAAACTCATGAATCCAACTGTGAAGATGTAGCCTACAAAAGAGTTATCAGAAGACATTCCTTATCCAGTAGACCTGGCAAAAGTTATTTGTAGGGGAAGCAGCAGTAGATTCACTGTATCATCCACTGGACCAGGAAATCAAGCAAGAGTTTTACTCAATTATTCATACCTCTGGCAGTAGGATATAGTTAGATCCGTAATTTGTCTATGCTTTATGTCATACCAGATGTATTTGGCTTAAGTGTAACATTAAGATTCAAAATGAGTCAAAAAGTATTGTTAGAAAAATTACAGAAAACTTTATTAAACAAAAGAATTTAAATGTGAAGATATTGTTTCTTGACCTATCTGGCTAGGTTTATAAACTTCTGCAGGTGAGGAGTTGTTTCCAACTCTCCACCCCTCCCTGAAGAACGCTGCGCTCCTCACTCACATCATGCCAGAACAGCAGTTTTTGCATCCTCGGGGGACTGTGGAGAGCATGCTCCTGACAGCGGTCTTGACGTTGTAGGAACGGGAAAAAGGCCGGAAAAGACGAGACGAGGGTTACAGGTATGCCGGATGAGGTGAACGCTCGCCCTCCAGAGTGAGATGGTGAACTGTCATCACAGAGCGAAAACCCTCAGCATCCACCTCCCTGGACTATTTTTAATCTAAGCCGTTTTCAATTTCCTTAAAATTCCCTCCAAAGAAGTCTCTGTGATCTCCCTGCATTCTTCCAGAAATCCATCAAGATGACTCCTTTATCTTGGGGGGGGTGGGGTGGGCAAAAACCCGTCACCATAACCGGCTGCTCTGCCGGCTCTGCCTTGAATTAACTGGCCCAGCAGATCCCGTCGTCAGAAGACACTCTGTCAATTGGACCTTTTTTCCTGGAGACACCCTAACAAGACGAAGACAAGTGCCTGGCTGACTCCAATGATTGCACAGGCGCGTTTGAACATGTTTTGTTTCAGATAAACCTGCGTATGTGTGAACTGGAGCCCGAGAAGCAATGCTAGTTTACTTACCTCATACATCTTGAACATTTCTGGGATAGTTTACTTAAAGCATCATCTCTCAAGGACATAATCAAGGGCGAGCAATCTGGATGACTAGAATTCACTGGGTCCTTGACTTCCTAGGGCTCCCCCAGTATATTTAATATATGTCATGATTTTTAAAAAGTCAACGTCCAGCTCTTTAAAATGAAGTCTACTGTGTAAAGAGAGGTGCACTTACAAATACCAACAAATTAAAAGTCTCATCCCAGACAGTGAGTAACTACCTGTAGACTGGTTAGAAATGCATGAAGGGCTTTCAGGTTTGAAAGCTAATAAAATAACCTGGACTGTTTATCTCCCATAAGCAGACAATAGCCTTGTCATGATTGATTTAACAAAAGCAGCCTATAAGCATATGAGGTTTTTTTTATTATTAATAATTGTACCGGGGGCTCTTACAAATCTTATAGAAATCCATCATTCAGTAGTATTAAGCACACTTGTACCTATGTGGCCATCAACATTTCCAAAGCATATGAGAAGTTAACAGTAAAACTAAAACTTACTTAGAAGATACTGCCAGTAACACCTCCAGATATCTTGTAAATTCTTAAAAACTAGTTGAATGAGGTACAGAGAGAAGGACCAGCCTCCCGCCAGGATGACGTAAATGGGACTTTTCTAGACAGAGAGCAGAAGTGAAAGCACAAGGTTACAACAGGCGTCCTGCTCTCAACACATTAGAGAAGCAAACGGAACAATGATTTACCCAAAAAAAACAACAAACCCAGCCCACTCAAAGTGCACAAAACATATTTCTTCAAAAGATGTCCTTTACATTTAAACTGGTACTGTCTGCAGGGAACACTGGGATAATAAGAAGCTAAATAACTTAAAAGCCTCGCTGTGTAATTAACAAACAGGAAGGAGGCTTTAATCCTCCCAGTGCACAGGACTTCATATAAAAAAGGAGTTTGTGGGTAGCTGAGCCTCATGTTGCAGGGGAAAGGATCTGTCTGAATCAGGAAAGAGTAGGGCACTGACTTGCAGCCATCATGCAAATGTGTAGTTCGACAATACCCAGCAAAGTCCTTCAGCTAGCCAAGCACCCCCGAACTGCACAGAAGGAGTCTTCTGCGACTTACCCTGGGCATAAACTTGGAGAGCATAAAAATGATGATTAGGAGAGAGGCCACGATTCCCACACTCATCCCAGTGGAATAGTAGAAAATCTGGCTTCTACAAAGATAAAATGTACTTCATGACCGTGTCCACAGCATGCAGGCCATGGATACACACAGCATACAGCCCAACAATTGGCAAAGGTACCAAATTAGAGCATATCTTCACCCAAATCTTAAGGTCAGAAAAAAGTAGCTACTGGTATGATGTGGCTGCTGCCAAATGATGAGCATTCATATCAACAAGGCCCCCTCAAATAAGTATATCCCAATAATAAACATCTACTTAGTTTCCTAGCCCCCTCCTACCGCCAGCCAGCATGTCTCCTGACCTAGTTTCACCTAAGAATCTTCTTCGGAGGAATTGCACAACTTCTCTAGGAAAAACCAAGGGGCAAGAACACTGTCCTGGTGGAGAATAGAAAGGGAACTGAACTGCTTACCTAAGGCCCAGCTTGGTAAACCAAGCATGTGGGCTAGAATCTCGGCCCCTACCACTATCCAGGCTTTCTACTAGCTAGTCCGCTCACCATAAGCTTCTCTCAGGAGCCCCAAAGCAGGAACAACCCGCACCAGACCACTCCAGCCCAGCCTCAATGTCCACCTGCTAACTGTCCCTTTGCTACTTTCACACTTTCTCACTTCTTTTACGTCTAATGCTAATGTTGATTCAAATTTTGTTCAGTGTTTATGTGGCTATCTATATGCTTCTATTTTTACATGGTAAGTCTCATCTGTATCTACTTAGTAGGTTAAGCAGGAGATGAATACATGGAATATACTAAATATAACAACAAAACTTAGAAAGTGTCTCTTTTCCTCTGAACAGCATGAATGAAACTCAACCCATGGTCCTATGTAACTAGAGCTTAACGCTTTATTTCCAGTGGTGGACAGGGTGGTGATGTTCAAATTCAAATACTGGCTGAATCCCATTACATAACAGACTAATCTAACAGGGGAATTTCACTATTGCCAGCCTTATTAATAAAAACAAAAATCAGAGCACACATTAATGCAGCAGGAAAACTCTCCAAACAGACGATGCCCTAGTCATGAAGGTCATGGACCAGTGACGGCCACACTTAATGTTTCATGATCAAGGTCACGCAGGGCAGGTCTGGGTCCCCTCATAGCACAAGCTCGCCTCCCAACCTACCTGCTCAGCAGGTCTCCACAAAAAAATAGCGTAAGTCCCAGGAGAAAAACGAGGAAGAGTTTGGGGTCAAATCCTGAAATAAATAGAGACTTCTGTTTAACCGACGAACCAAACAGTTTAAGACAAAAGAATAAAAGGCAATGTAAGTGTTACTGGGTCAGCTACGGCAGACCATCTTCAACTTTTCCCACTCTCGACTCCTTTTCGCCTGAGCAATTTGCAACAGGGGCAAGTCTGCCCAAATACCCCAGATCCATTATGTGCTCGATTTTGAATTGACTCCTGGTCACCGCACACTCAAAACCCTTTTACTATTGCCAAATTTCTTAAAACCCTCCCTTCAAATATGTGGGGTCCCACACCCACAGTTGAAGAAGTTTTGAGCTACAGGAAGATACATGCAACCAGCACACGTAAGGAGCAATGCAAGTGCCACTCAAAGTCGGGGCCACCCCTCCTAAGAAAGCGTCAAATTCAGTCTCTGTAGAGCGTATAGTCTCTCAAAGACCTTACTTTAGTTTGGGTGACTTATGCTAAAGGAGCCTTGTGGTGTAGTGATGACGCTTTGGGCTGAGCTCAGCGTGGTCGGCAGTTTGAAACCACCAGCAGCTCTGAGGGAGAAAGACTGGGCTTTCTACTCCTGTAAACAGTTACTACAGTCTCGGAAACCCACAGGGGGCCGCTACAAGTCAGAATTAAGTCGATGGTAGGCAGACCAATGAATGCTGAGTGGAGTCTGGCCCAGTACCAGCAGCGCTTCATGCAGTCACCCACAAGGGGTCTCTACCACTCAGGTTTGCGAACCTTCAGTCACTTAAGGAGCAGAATTCAGTTTTGCCTAGAACTTTGGGCCAAGGCCAAGGCCCTCTGTTGTTCATCAACTGGCTGCTCTCCTAGCCAACAAGACCGTCTACTTCCCTTTGCTACGCTACACAAGCAGGGCTGGAAAAGCAGACACTCGCGTACATCTCACTCAGGACCTGCAGGCCCCAAAAGAGGTCTCCCAGGCCCGCCCACAGCTTTCAGACCCAGAGTCCTGGAGCTGAGTCGGCAGCAGGCCGACAAACAGAGAGAGCAGTAGTAAGGCAGAGCACTATAAGATTAGGTTAATCTCTTACAACCAAAGAACTGTGGTATCCTAGCGCAAGTGGAAGAGCGTGCCCTATTTCGTGGCAAAACCTAGGGACATGCCTACTATTCACCAGGACCCCGGCTAGGAAGCAAAGAGAAACCAAAAGTCGGAGAGAATCTGAAGGGAAGTGTTTCCCCTGTGAAGGTTTCCCAGGAAAACTCTGCCAGACCGCTGAATAAGCCTGAGCCACAGACAGAGGTCTCCCCTTTATTGGCAGGGCTCCTCATATTTCCTTCAGTTGTGAACCATTGATATTCAATTTTACCTTTCTTCAGCTTTTGTGATTTTACCATTCATGTTTTCAAATGCACACCTGCGCAATTCAGGACATCTACCTTGGTTGAAGTGTATGTGGCACTGTGGCAATAGAGAAGCATTTTAAAAAGAAAAGAAACTCACTGGCATAGCGTCGATTCCTCATAGCAACCTCCAGGATGGAGGGAACTGGCCCTGGATAGTTCCGAGGCTGTAGCTCTTTAAGGGAGCAGAGAGCCTCATTTTTTTCGCCCACAGAATGACTGGTGAGTTTGAAATGCTGGCCTTGGAGTTGGGGTTCCAATGCATAACCCACTATGTCACCAGGGCTCCACTAGGAATTTAAGTCTTCTCATTTCTAAGTTAGGAAGTCATCACGCTGACCTAAGGGGACGTCTTGGTTCAAGAACTGAAAGGTCTTCCATGGGGTGGAGTCTCCCTGAGCTGTCTGGAACAGAGGCGTACTCAAGGTTATAATCAAACCCCAAACAGAGCTATCTTTGGGCTGACTTCTTTATCCTACTAATGCCACAGCCAGAGCTCAGCCCTTCCTCACTAGGGAATCCCTTACCAACACAGAGGAACGACTTACTCCGGATCACAATGACACTGTATTCAGTGTCCTTCTCCACAAGCTCCACTTGGACGCAGGTCTTGGTGCTGTAGAGACCCACGTTAACATACGTATCATTCAGCTTCTCTTTTAAAAAAGAAGAAAAAAAGTTCCAGATACTAAACTGCTCCAGCTCCTTGAGCTTCTCCTCATTCTCCACCTGGGTGACTTGTACCATTTTGGAACTATTTATCCGAATCTGTAAAACAAGTAAATTTGGGATGAGAAAGAAGGAAGTAGGAATTCTACGTTTCCACGTGTACAAGCTTTTTAAAGACGTCCTAGAGTAAATGGCGATATTTGTGCTAGCACCAGTCTATCACCTGTCTTAGAAGAAGTACAGAGAAGCAGTAGCTACAACATAATTGTGCGAGCAAAACTGCACATGGTAGGGAGAGGGGGGTGTGAAAATGTCTTATTCATATGAGCTGAAGCTACTATTAGACTAGCGCATAAAGTGGGTGGGGGGGAGCACGGGGAAAACTTCCCAGCTTGAAGAGTCATCAACATGGCAGTTATGAAAAACCATACAAAACAAGGGTCTAAAACATTAAGAAAATTGCCAGACATGAACAGCCCCAGACAACTGAAAATGTTTCCCATAATGACAGGCTGAGAAGTTCAACCCATTGTCACAAATTACTGATTATGAGTAAATGTTGCTCATAATGTGCCCAAGATAGAATATGATTTTTCTATCAGGCTAGAAAAAAGAAAAAGAAAAAAAACAACCTCACAAACCCACCCATATGTTCCTGATGTGAACAAATGCCCTTATCAGTAGCTCTGCTTACACAGCGGCGGCAGCAATTCCAAAAGGCTCATTTTGTTCAATCACCATTAGAGCCAGACACTCCTGTTGGCCAGGTGACTTAATGGTGGTATGAAAGAAAGGAGATCAAAGTCATTCTGTCAAGGGATAGCTGTGGCTCAGGGATTCATGAAACATCTTCTTTGGAAGCAGAATAGGTTAAGAGCAGCGAGTCAAAGATGTTTACGCCCTGGTAGGCATGCAACGGTTTCCAGCCCAAAGAAGGCATAAGGCTTGAAAGAGAAGAGAGCTAGCATGTTATTATGTTGGGAAAAGGCAAGGGTACAGAGGCAGAGCAGCTCCCTAAGGGAAAGAAAGGATGAAGGAAGTTTACCAAAAAGTCTGCTTAGAAATTCAGGGTATTTTAGGTGCTTCAGGGAGAAGAGAGAAGAAACACGTCGGAGGAAGCAATGGTTACTGATGAAAATACAATTCAGGATCATCTCAACCCTAACAAGGTTGTGAGCAATTGTGTGTGAGGGAGAAAAATGTGTCAATGTCCTTACAAATCACAGACGGGCATTCATACCGGGTGCTCTTACCTGTATCCGTGTCCATACATCATGCCACTTTGGGACAAGCACATTTTTGTAACAGAACTGCTGGTCGCTACTATAATAAACTTTGGACTCCTGAAGCATGACGACATGAACACCAGCTCCAGCTTTATGCAAAGAGAAGAAACATGAATTATGTATAGTAAGAGTACAACATAGCAAGCTAAGAATTATAATTCATCTCACTAAAAGAAGTAAACCAGCCACTTTTATTAAAGGCCATATTTCAACTTGGGGTTAGACTCTTAGCCAGACTGAGAAGGGAGGAAGAAATTAGGATGAAAGAAGGAATAAGGCAGTCTTTATTTCTCTAAAATGTGATCACCAAATATTACAAACAGTCATTAACCCAGAACAAGCTGCTATTGTAAACTGGTCACTTTTAAGATCGAGGAGAGCCTGACCCAAGGCATGATATTTCCCATCACCTCGCATGCACGTGAGAGAGCGCTGGGCTGTGAATGAGGGAAGCAGAGAAGAAGGGAGGCCAGGAACCGCAGTGCTGGTGAAGAACGCTGAACGCACCATGGCTGACTGCCTGAAGAACACACAGATCGGGCTTGGAAGAAGTACAGCTAGACCGACCCCTAGAAGCAAGGACGGCAAGACTGTAGCAAGTATTCTGAACATGGTATCAGGAGGGACTAGTCCCAGGAAAAGGGCACCACCCTTTGCAAAGGATCAGTAAAAAAGAGGTAGACCCTTAACAAGATAGATTAGCATGTGGCTGCAACAATGGGCTCAAGCATCAGAACAGTTGTGAGGAGGATGCAGGGCACCAGGCAGTGCTTCCTTCTGCTGCTATGAGTCTACGCTTGACTTGCTGGCACCGAATGACAATATTGTTAATTGGGTACAAACAGTAAGCTGAATGCCTTGCATTTGATCTCCCAGTTAACCCTCCCAGCAATCCTATGAGGTAGGCACTCTCATAATCCTATTCTATAAATGAGGAAGTACTT